CATTTTATGTTTATAATTTTTTTCCTTTTAGTTTACTATGGATTTGAACATTTAAGATGACACACATATCAATTATATTCCATATGGTAGAATTCCCTCATCCTTCTTTATTTTTTTTCTTTTGACATTGATATAGTCTGGTATTACATTTCTTTGTTGTGGCTCATTGTAGTTAGCCCATGGTTTTTATACTAGCATTATTTGTAAATATATATAATGTTATTTGGTTTAGATTTCGAAATATTTTGAAACTTTGTTTACACCTGCAATATAATAACTTGCAATTTATTTATATGGCCACAACCAATCATCAACAGCTCGTAAATAACTTGCTAATGAGATAATTGTAGGTAACCAATGTTGAAGCTATAGAAATGGCCAGGAGGTTAGCATTGGAGGAAGGTCTACTGGTAATTATTTATGTTCTTAAGTGTTATTTTGGTTGGAAAATTTCCATGCATGTTCTACTTCTACCTATTCCACCATAAAAAACTTGTTTGAAATATTTTCATTGTCCTTAGGATAATCCTTCATATTTCCCTTGAGATACGGTGGTTTCTCCTCTTCGACAGTTTTCCTTAAGATTTGATAGTTTCTTCTCCCTCGAGTAAGAGTGTTGTTTTAGACTTTTAGTAATTAAAATAATTTCACCTCTTGGTAGGTTGGCATTTCATCAGGAGCTGCTGCAGTAGCAGCGATAAGTCTGGCTAGGAGGCCCGAAAATGCTGGAAACCTTATTGTGGTATGTTCATTCCATTTTCTCCATTTGAAAAGTCATGTGCTGGGTCTACTCCCTATTCCAAAACATACACACAAGTCTTCTGGTAGGCAGGGACAAAACAAGTCTATTTCTTTACAATATTCCAAAATTTATCATGACCCTATCCATTCATCTTTTTATTTAAAAAAGGGCAGCACATCTCTCTGAGACCGGGAGAACAAATAGCCGTGAGGAAGAGGGGGTGAGGGGGCTACTTTGTCTAGTGTTCTCCATTAAAAAATCATGTAATTTTGTAGAAAACTTATTATCATCTTTTCCATGCCTTTTCTCTTTCTTTTTCACACTTATTCTACAACAAACATTCTGTTCTTGTCCATGATCAACTTTACAACTTTCAATTTTTCTAGCTTCTCAGTCTTTGCACCCTCCTTTTAGTGAATGGTTTTATGTTCTATCCAAAGGTTTTTGGCTTGTTTCTTGTATTTAGTAGCTAGTTGTCTTTTCCATGTATGCCGCTTCAACTTGTTGGTAGTATTGTGTTTCCATTTTTGTAGTGGGGCAATTGTTTCAAATTTATATAATCGACTCCTAGAAACATGATCTGAAAGAAAAGAAAAGACCATGTAATGTTACCCTCCAAAAGGGCAAGAAAACTGAATATCTTTGATCAAAATCTTAATTCTACTTCTTATGATTGTATTCATGCTTGTAGGTTATATTTCCAAGCTATGGTGAGAGATACATATCCTCGGTGCTTTTTCGTTCTATTTATGAAGAAGTTCAGAGAATGTAGACGAGATAGGAGTTGCCCAAGTTTGTTATACTTTGAAGACGATTCATTCATAAATCAACAACGATAATGTAGCTTCCTGATGCTTTTTCACTGCAAACTATATGATTTCAATGTGTACTTCTACTGAAACTTCTCTCTTTTCTGTTTTGCAGGTACAACAATTTTTCAAGGCACAAGAATCAGAAAGGCGAGCGTAATTGCATCTACATTAGGTAAACAACCGTTATTCCAAAAGATTGAGAAGTAAAAAAGGGCAGAATAAGGGCTTAAAATGCAAAGAGAAATGGTGTAATATGAACTAGAATAGAAGACAACAACAATCCATAGCTCAAAAAGAAGTGTACGCCCTAGGTTAGGCACTTTTTAACTATGGAGCTATTTTGTAGGTTCTCGCTCATAACATCACCAACTATTTTTATATATTCCAAGAAAGTTTCAATCATTCTTTACTGAATATGTTATGCATGTCTCCCATAGGTCAAGTATCATTTGCTAATGAATCTCCCCACGCTCCTCCCTTGCCTTGTTAGAAGTTCTATAGCTATTACCTAAATTTCCTCGGGGTCTTTCAAGGATAGCATAGCAATTTCATATTCTTTAATAAAGTACAATAGCTTTCAGCCTTGTGAAAATGAGTCTTTCAAATAGATAGTAGTTTCAAGCTGCATTGCATTGAACATACTTCCCAAGGAGTTGTGTTCAAGTTTATTTGCACTTCTTTTACATTCTTTTTCATGTTTGAGTTTGCTGTTCTTGGGCGATTCAAGTTCCTAACTTCTTAACTCTTACATTTGCAGTCTTCATCTAAATTTAGTTAAGGTATGCAGTTCTATTCATAATCTTCTCTCCATTTTCTTAAATTTTATTTCTTTCATTTTTTCTCTTGAAATTTGTTCCCTTTGGAATACAAGAGGAATGACTTTTTCAAACTGAAACAAATGAAAAGAACCAAGCGAGATTCCAATTCTAGCTTCTAATTTTTGGGCATTCAATATTCTTTTCTTTTACTTCCATTTTGATTCTTACCTTTGCTATTAAAATGTCTATTTTAATTCTTATAGAATCATACACTTAAAAGGAGACATTAATTATTGCCAGTTAACTACAAAATTGACGAATTTAGATAACATCATGTGATTTTCATCCAGGCTAAATATCGGTGGAAAATTAACAGATTATGATTTGAATCATACATAATCATACAAAATACCATTCATAATGGTTACTTTATCGACCCATCAATCTTTAAGATTGTAATTTTTATATATTTTTATATTCATTTTAGGCTGATGCAAGGAAAACTTTGGTTTGCTTGTGAGGTAAGTATGCCCTTATGTTGAGCCTCAATTGTTGTTGAGTGATTGTATTCAATTTTTTCTTGTATTATTTTCATATCTACGTTACTATACATTATTCTACCAATTGGTATTTATTCAACCATATTAGGTTTTTGAATTAAATATAAATTTGTTAGAATTCATCGACAATATAATTGTCAATATGAGTATATCTCAATGGGTATAAACACCCGTAATTATTCTAAATATCGATAGTTCGATCTCTTTGCAATTATTGAATTCAAAGATGTTTAATACTCTAGTAGTCTTTTGCTATCGACTATTCCCTAATGACTGCATATTATAAGGTTAATTTGTACTAACTTTCTAGGATTGGATTATTAGGAGTTGAAGTTCGAGACCAAAGTGGACATTATTCAACTATAATGGACATATACAAAGAGTTAGTAATCAAAGTAATTTATTGTCGATGAGCCGTAATGATGATTTGAGTAGGTGGGAAGGATTTACTTTAACATAGTATTAATTAAGATTTAGATGTAATTTTGTAGTAATTAATGAGTAGGTAGAGTTAAAAGATTAATGAACAATTTTTTAAATTATTCTTTAGGTGTTTTACCTGGTTTTCTTTCGTTTAGTTGTTTAGTTCTTGTGGTAGTTGGTTCTAGTGTTTTAGTTCATCTTTTTATTGCTACAATTTCCTTTTTGATAGGATAGATAAGGTCTCGTTTGATAATTATTTAATTTTTAACTTTTTTATAATTGTTCTTATTTTCTCGCAATTTCTCAATTATGACAGTCATCGTTTCTATGTTCAGAGACAAAACAGACACAAATCTCAGGAACTTCATTGAATTTGCGTTACTTTACTTGCAATAGTTGATTGATTATCTCTCTTATAAATAGTTTGTCTATTTCTTTTCTTCGAGCCCATCTCATTTCAACAATAGTAATTCTTGAACTTGTCTACGTCAAAATTGAACCATTCTTCATCGTCGTCGTCTGTATCGATCCATAGGCCTTTAATTGATTGATTGAATGTTAAGGTGTGGCATGGAGGGCACAAGAGGAGGTGTGAATAAAGGCATAGTATGGACCATTACATTTAGGCAAAGCAAAAGTTGATGGTTTTTTGGTTAGCAATGGAAGTTCATTTATGTTTACACCTCATTTTTAGTTGAGAAAATTGAATGGCATGATGTTTACTCATTCATTACATTAACTTCTTAAAAAAAAAACAATTCATTCATTGTGAAAGCACCCACCATTTCATCAATATTACAATTAATAAATGTCCCTCCTTTTATATTTATTTATTTTTCAATTTATTATTAAAAAAAAATTATTTTTTTAATTTTTTCAACCATCTCGTGCATTTTTATGCGTCCCATGTTGTTTTTCGTTATGTAACTGTCATGTTGTCTTGGGTTATATAACGATGCATGACTTATCAATTTTTTGAGCATTTTATGTCGGTATGATTATATTAATATTAATACACTATTAAAATTTTGCACGTAAAGTAATATTAAGATTGGTGACCATTCGAATTTATTTATTTACCTATCTTATTCTTAAATATTAATTATCCCGTTAAATTAGAATAAAAAATTGACATGACATCAAATTTTGATATGACCCTTCAAATTGCCCAATGCTACCTTTCACTTAATTTTATTTCAAATTTTTAGTTCAAATTAATTGAATTTTTACTGCCCAAATATATATATATATATATATATATATATATGTATATATAACCATTTAATGTCAAATTTAAGCATAATTAATAATGTATTATATCTTTCATAGATTGAATGTTGGAATTTTTATTTTATATATTGTTGAAATAAAAATATAAATAATAATTTAAAACTATTAATATATATATATATATATATATATATATATATATATATATATATATATATATATATATATATATTAAAACTATAAATAATAATTTAAAACTATTAATATATATATATATATATATATAAATGAAATAATTAATTTTTAAAATTTTAATTTAATATATGATGGCTAAGGTTATTAAAAATAAAGTTGTGAAATTTATTGTCACACAGAAAGAGATAAAAGGGTAATTAATTTCTTGTTCTTTGGATTATTACAATTGAAAACAAACAAAAATAAAAACTACAATTTTTTTGGCTTTTTTTTTGTTTTGTTTTTGTTAGAACACCGGCGGCAACTCCATCATCTCCTCCACTTGCCCGGTGGCGCCTTCTTCAAACAGCCACTTTTCAAGAAACGATAGTGGCGGCGCCGTCGCAGCTACCGCCGTAGCGCCGGCGTTTTCAAATCTTTGCTTCTCTCCAACATGTTCCTCTTTATCCTCACAAGAACTCACATTCTTCCAATTCTCAAACGACAAAATCGAATCAAATTCTTCACCGGAAACCAACTCGCCGCCGTTCAATTCCTCCTTCGGCTGTTCCTGCGCGGCGGTGCCAGAATTCTCCCCGCCGATTCTCCGACGAGATTCCTCCGGTGAAGATCTCATCCAACCTTGAAGAAGCCGCGAAATGTTCTCGGCGCTTGAGGCGTAGGTGGATGCTCTGTTTTCAGCGAGCGGCGGCGACAAGCACTGGGATTGAAACTGACCGCCGGCGGACTCGGATGGCTCCGGCGGATCAACGGCGGCGGACTGCAATCTTTTAAGCTTCTTTTTCAAATGGGTATTCCAATAATTCTTTATATTGTTATCCGTCCTCTGAGGAAGATACGAAGCTATGGCCGCCCATCTGAGAATTTCAAAGCCCAGATTTCAATTAAATGATTGAAACTGCAAATCAAAAGAAGAAAGAACAATAAGAAGATCATTACTTGTTACCCAATAAAGCTTGAAGATGAATGATCATTCCTTCCTCATGGGGAGTGAAATTTCCTCTGTTTATTCCCGGCCGGAGATAATTGGTCCACCGGAGCCTGCAACTTTTGCTGCATCGCAACAATCCTAAGAACAACAACAAAAATCTCAAGAACAATAAGATCAAGTAAATGGGAAGGGATTATAAACAAAAGGGATTTTCATATACCTGTGTTGGTGGGAACGGAGCGCCAATTGCCGGGGCCGTGTTCTTGGATGTAGGAGACCAGAATGATATCTTCTTCCGGCGTCCATGGCCCCTTCTTTATGCCCACTTTATCACAGCAAGGAACCCTTCCCATGCCTTTCTCAACCCTTTTACCTTTGTTTTTTTTTCTTTGAATTCGATATGGCTATGGCTGCAAGTTCTTCTTCTTTTTTTTTTTTTCTTTTTTTTTTTTTTTTTTGTTTTTCANAGAGCGGCCATTAACGTGTGAAGAAGCTTAAATATATAAGAAAAATAATTCTGTCCGCCATTAAAGCGTATCATCAAACTCTGCTTCCTTAATTAATGCTTTAACTAAAACCTTAATTTATGTCTAGAACTCTCCTTTTTAGTTATTTATATATAAGAAATTGCAAGTGTTCATCGTACATCTCGTTACACTAAAGTTTGTCTTCGAAAGCTAAGGTTATTAAGAAGAAACCATTTGAAATTTTAAAAAAGAATCTAAATTGATGTATATAACTTTGTTAGTAATTAATTTGATTGCTTTACTTTCGAAATTAGATTTACATCACTTAACAATTTATTTATGTTCGATAGAAAGGTCAAGCTTATTAATACTTTTTTAACAGAAAATTGATGTGAAACTCCTATCCTCTGGTTCTTTTCTTGTTCTTCCTTTATTCACAATAAAAAAGGTTCTAAAACTCCTCTAGGTATCATCTCCCTTCCCCGTTTCAGACCGTTTCAGTTTCAAATCCGAAACGGGGAGGACTTCTCCCCGAACAAAGGAAGAAGAGAGAAAGGAGAGACAAGAATGGAAGAAAAGAAAAGAGATGACACAAAGGAAAAAGAAAGAGGCAATGGTTGCAGCATGTACGGAGGGAGAAGTAAAGAGAGAGGGATAAAAATAATAATGAATAACGACGACAAATATCAAAATGCTATCAAACTCAAATATCAAGAACTTTTTGTCGCTATCAAACTCAAAGATTAGAAGCTCTGTATATGGTAAGAAAGTAGACAGATTAAGATATACACGAAAAGATAAATTAAAATGATCGACATAGAAAAACAAATTAAACCTTACGAACAAATACTAACTACATTAATTAATTAATCTAAAATATTACGAGGGAAGTGAGTACACTATTACATTAACAATGACATTGCTATGCAGATTACACATGACATCTTCAAAAAATTTGTATCACAATGTCAAAGAACAAGATAACTCATAAACAGAAAATAATAATAATACCAACAATGATTTGAAGTTCATACACAAACTAATGGATAATAATTGTGTGCATCGAAAACCTTCTATTCCGAGGGGGAAAGGGAAAATGCTACATCTAAGAAACAACCATTATCCTTACGCAAAAGGATTTCCTCCGATTGAAGCAACAGATTCCGGTGGAGTAATGTTCCTAAAACAGACCAAAAGTAATTCAAATCACCAGTTAACAAAGATCTAAGAATAATTGAATAGCATAGCAGGACTTACGATATTTGAGAGCCTGGTGCTTGCCCTGCCATGAGTGATAACCCACCTGTATTTAGAAACAAGAAAAAAAAGGTAGAACAGCTTCAAATTTCTAATTTCTAAAGATAGAAAAATGAATCCATGTTATCCGGTAACAATTAAAATTATTGCAGCCCATATTTATGCATGTTTTGATAAGAAACAAAAACAATTTCACTGATATTCACATGAAATTTACCCCAACGGTCTTTTTCTCGTCCCTATTTATATTTCTTTTAGTTAAACAATAAGTATGAGGAGGGTTCAAATCTTTGACCCCTTGGTCAACAACATATGCTTTAACCAGTAGAGCTAAGCTCAAACATTTTGATAAGTTCTACCAAGATTTTTTTTTATCCGACTAAAATTTAGCAAGAGTTTTCAGAAAGTAGGAGTGAAGCAACTTATATAGCAAACAAGCTCACTTAATCATTATCAACTGAATTTGGTATCAAAGAAACAGGTTACCTTGTCCTGCAGTTGGAATAAATGGCGCTGGATTTTGAGGAAACCATGGTTGTGAACCACCAATTAGGGTGGATGGCAACTGTGCATTAGGTAGAGCAGACTGCAAAGAGCTCATGTCCAAAAACTGTGAAATGGCATTAAGAAATAGAGAATTATTACGATTAGATAATCCATGTCTTAAAGCAAAGACATTTATCGATGATGAGTAAGATTATATAGTAAGGAAAAGGAAAAGCATCCAAAATTATAAAGAAAGTGGTTAAATAGCTCTTAGATTACCAAAGTAGAAAAGGAAAAAAAAAAAAAAAAAAAAAAAACACCAAGTTGTCATTTTTAGGCTAAAGCTATAAGAGATCACCATATTTGGGTTTCTAAATGCATTTACAAGTTAATTTCCCAATAATTTTGAAGAGCAAGGCAGAAGCTTCTAGGGGCTTAAGATAAGGGGGCTCCTCCCCTTACCTCTTTTACATTAATTCCTCATTTCACTTTAGTAGATTAATCACCAAATGTAGAGAGAAGAATCATAATGATGATTCGACCCTTTTCATCATATGATTCAACCCTTATAGTTGGAGAACATGCATGCAGATGATTCGACCCTTTTCAGCGCTCAAGAAAGATTTGAATTAGAAAAGGCTTCTACCTTCCAATATGTTTTTAAAGTAACTTTGGGGCCTATGACATAGAGAGTGAATGAGTATAAACCGTTAGGAATCACGATCCTCCACAATGGTATGATATTGTCCACTTTGAGCATAAGCTCTGCTTTAACCATTCAGCCATGGATGCTTATAACGGGGATCCTCGTACATGGTGAATAACCAAATTCCAATTAAAATAAAATCTTCAGTATAAATCAATGTAATAAACTATGGTAACCATTGACCTAGGATTTAAATTCCAATCAATTTCTTTCTCCATAAAAAGTAGTAGATTAGTAAAAATGTGCTCAAGCTGGCCAAAACACTATGCATTATTGCGTCTAAGCTAAGTATAATCCTAATGAAGTCTGCACTTGCTAGTACAAGTATTTCAAAGAGTGAAAAAAGAATGGCCGACGCTTTTGGTTGCAAAGTTGAGAAAACACCCTTCTATTACCTTGGTCTTCCCACTTCAATATCTTACGGGAAATTTCATAAGGAAAACCCGTTGTATATAGTGTTTTTAATAGATTAACCAAGAGGAAGAAAGTCTCAATCTTCAAGGGAGTTGACTCTAGTGCACTCACTTCTGGCAAAAGGTTATTTATCCTTGTTCAAAATTCCAGGTAATCAAATTAAGCAGAAGTTCGAAATTGAGAAAGGAGAATTGAAGACAGTGACAGAAGAGCAGGATGAAGAATTTCATCTTTGCTTTAGCTTAGGAATCGGCAGATACGCAGCATAATTCAGCCTTCACATGATATATGATAATGACATCCTATCAGATTTTATTCGGAATTACTTTATTGTGCATCCAAAATCTGGGTCATAATAATGTTCCTATCAGACAACAAAGTTCTGATACTGTAATATATGACAAGAGTCCATTTTGGATAAGAAAGTTACACACCTTGTGCGTTTAATCTACATACCAAAAAAAGTTATCAATTTCATTGAAACTCAGAAAGAATAGGAGCAAATTATTGTATTATAGTTGTTTGTCATTTGAAAGGGAAAATAGGGTATTGTCCATTATATATCATGTCTAAGATCATGACAGTCAAATTTGGTATGCAAGGTGCATAAAAAACAGCAGCTTCTAATTCTTTTCTTCCAGAAATAACATTTTTTATATGTAGACTTTATATTAAAGAGGACATTAACACAGTTAAAACTTCATATAAAAAAAGTCAACGATAAATGGTATTTTCTTGTAAAAGTTCATCTTCTTAATCCTTTCAGTCGAATATTTTATGGGAGCCAAATATCAATAAAAAAATCGTACCATATTTGTTTGCTCCAAATCTGGATCATATGGAAGATCAAATGGGTTTGTCGATTTACAACTGGTTATCTGTGTACCTCTCTCTCCCTGCAAAGAGCATTTAAGTTACAAGATCAAATCATATACTCATGATGGAGAACATATGTAGAAATCTTTAGCAGGGTACAGTAGTTTTATCTACCTCTGCAACTCCAAATAACAAATGTCCATCGGAAGAAGGCAGGAACTCTTGACCTGGAACTTGAAGCTCAGTACTTTGCTTACCACCCTGTAGGGAGAGGTCTGTGATAGCGTCTTCAAATGCATTCCAAGGCTTCTTATCAACAACAGATACAAGCGAATTAAGTTTCTTTCTATTTACAGCATAATATTAAACAGAAATTGCATCATGAACCCAGTACATCAAGAGTTTTCTTGTCAAGATTCAAGAAGATTCTGCTTACATTGGTGCTCGTCACATAAGTAGAAGCTTGAGCATCAGGCAAATCATTATGCCATTGACTAGTTGCTAATAAAGATGAATCGTGAGCAATGTAATTTGGAGTGGACGGCCACTGAACAGCAGCATTAGAAGATAAGAAAGGATCAAACTTTCCCAAAGCACCTTCATTGGAAGGATGATCAAGCTTTCCAAAAGCTCCTTCACTGGAAGGATTCTTTACAGCATTGACATTAACAGAACTAGGAACAGATAATGTTGCTTGCGGTGAATCAAATGTGGCCCATCCTTCATTTTTGGGGACTGCTGGTTCTAATGGCGTTTTATCCAATGTTGCTGAATGCTGTGGATTACTCTCAGGAAAGAATTGCAGGGATTGAGGTGGTGGTGACCTGTGTTGAGGTTGATCTTCAAAAAAAGATGGTGATGCAGATGGCAATGATGCCTGTGACTGGAACAAGTCAACAGTTGGAGTTACAGCAGAGACAGGTTTTGGTGCAAATGGTTCCTCAAAAAAACTCAAATTAATGGGAACTCCAGGAACAGATGACTGCCGAGATATAGGCATCTTATCCAGATTGTTGTGTGCAATTGGCTCAGGTTCCAACATGCTATCAGTTAAGCCAGCTGAATTATATGACTTCAGAGATGTTGAGTTGCTGTCTATTGAGCCAAAGCTACCGGAAGACATTGTTCTCTTGGAACAATAAAATAAAATTGAAAAGACGTCAAAATCATTTACTAGTCAACAGCATCAACAGTAGTAATAGTAGTAATAATAATAACCAAAGAGAAGTATTAAATCCGTTTAAGATATTGAAGGAAATCACAACACAACAGAAGTACCAGTTTTGAATCTTCAATCATTTTCTTAAGATGCTTTACGTGCTTAAGAAATGTGGAATTTCAGGGACACATTCAGTATTCCTTTGTCCACTCCTAGTCACCTTCTCTTGTCAATGTCACTCTTTAATACTTCTTTTCTTAAAGATTAAAAGAAAATGATCTTTTACTTTGTGTGTGGCATGCAGGGAAATTTGTTCTATTAGGGCCATTTGAGGCACCTTCTTCTTGCCTTCAAGCTCAATGATGCATGAAC